AAACAAAGGACCAGGCCAGAATAGTGATTTTTCTGACAAATAGCAATTGCTATTTTTTAGCCACTCTTAGCAAAGAGGGATGGGTCAGGAAAAAGGGGCAAATAGTTGATGAATATAACCATGAGGAGTCATTAAGTTGAATTTTTCTTTCCAGTAGATGACATTTACCCATGTTTGTCTTGGTATATTGTCATGAGTGAACATGTAACACTGTTTTCACAATATCAAGTTGGCAACATTTGTTATGTTTCTGAAATAAAGTTGTCTGAAGACATACTCGATTCACCTTAGTTATTAACTCTTGTCTGTATATGTCTATGTATGTATGTATGAATTTAGGGCATCTAGGTGGTGCAGTGGATAGAGTACCAGGCCTGGAATCAGGAAGACTTGAGTTCAAATCTGCCCTGAGATAGGTACTAGTTGTGTGACCCTGGGCAAGTCACTTAACCCTGCTTGCCTCAGTTCCTCAGCCATAAAACAAACTGGAGAAGGAAGAAAACCCTAAATGGGGTCATGAAAAGTTGGACATGACTGAAACGACTAAACAACAATACATGTATTTGTGTGAATGTTTACATGTATGAATGTATGTAATCTAGTTGAGAGGGAAGATGGGGGAAATGAAAAAAAATTTGCCTTAAAAAGCAATAACAGGGGGCAGCTAGGGGGTGCAGTGAATAGAGCTCCAGCCTTGGAGTCAGGAGGACCTGACTTCAAATCTGACCTCAGACACTTGACACTTAACTAGCTGTGTGACCCTGGGCAAGCCACTTAACCCTGATTGCCTCACCAAAAATTAAAAAATAAATAGAGTGGAGCATAGTTCAACAAGACAATGAGAAATATTAATATAAAGATAAAAGTAGAAGAATATGTAAGGTACCTATTATTAAAAATTGACCTGGAAAGTATGATAAAGAGAGAGAATTTAAGAACCACCAGACTTCCTGAAAAACCGCAACTAAGCAAAGAACCTGGATGTCATATTTCAAGAAATCATAAAAGAAATGGAATGTTGAGAGCCAGAACGCAAAGCAAAAACAGAATCCACCCATCACCTCCTGAAAGAAACTAAAAATTGAACACACCCAGAAATGTCATAGGAAAAATTCAGAGCTTCCAAGTCAAAGACTTACAACCAAGAACAATACTGCAAAACTGAACATTATTCTACAAGGGGAAAAATAAAATTTTAATGAATGAATTCCAAGCATTTCTATTGAAAAAATCAGATCTGGGCAGACTCTCTGAAATGCAATCCTAGGAGACAATAGAAATTTAGAAAATTGAATTACATTTGAGCAGTTTGAAGGAGTGATGTATGTTCTCTTCTCCCCTGTTAGAATGTCACCTATGTTACAAACCTGGGTGACTTGAAGGGTGGTGATGCCCTCAACAGAAGCAGGGAAGTTGGTTTGGGGTTTGGAGGGAAAGAAAATGAATTTTGGATATGTGAGTTTAATTTGTCCACAGGATATCTAGTTTGAGATGTCCAATAAGTAGTCAGGGATTTCAGACTGCAGGTTAGGAAAAAAGTTAGGTCTGGATAAATAGATCTGCAGGCCATCTACACAGAGAAGGGAAAGACACCTTTTACAGCTCTGACCAGAGGAAGAATTCTTAATTAAATTAGCGATTTTGTTGTCTTCTTGTTGTTGAGCCATTGGTTTTATCTGACTCTCTGTGATCCCATTTGGGGTTTCCTTGGCAAAGATACTGGAATGGTTTGCCATTTTCTTCTCCAGTTCGTTTTACAAATGAGGAACTCAGGCAAACAAGATTAAGTGACTTGCACAGGGTCACAACTACTAAGGCTAGATTTGAACTTGGGCCCTCCTGATTTTAGGGCCAGTGCTCTATCCACTGTGCCATCTCACTGCCCTAAACTAGAGACAGAGGTGATCATAGAATATAAAATTGATCTTTTAATGATGTAAAATTGAAACGCTTTTGCACAAGTACAATCAATGCATTTAGAATTAAAAGGGTATTAGAATTAGAAAGGTAATTTTACTCTTTACCAAGGATAATAATCCCCCTACCTGCTCAATGGATCCCATTCCATTCTATTTCTTTCAACAGATTTCCCCTTTTGTTATCCCCACTCTATCACTTCTTTTCTTTTCCTATTTTAAATTTTATAAATAGTATTTTATTTTTTCCAATTACATGTAAAGATAGTTATCAACATCCATTTTTATTAGAGTTTGAGTTCCAAATTTTTCTCCTTCCCACCCTTCCCCTCCTCCTTCCCAAGACAGCAAGCAATCTGATGTTGGTTATACATCCCTTATTTTCAATTTCTCCCTTTCTACTAGTTCCTTCCCTACTGCCTATGTTTCCTCCATCATTTCAAAAACGAAACAAAACGAAACCAAGTACTCACTTGATTCTTTCATCCCTGCTATCATCCTACATCTCTTCTGCCCTCTGTGGCTAAACTCCTTGGGTAGGCCGTTTATAATATATGCCTCCGCTTTCTCTCTTCTCACTCTCTTCTTAATTCCTTACAATCCAGCTTCTGACTTCATTCCACCAAAATTGCCCACTCCAAACAAACCAATGGCCTTGTCTCAATCCTTATTCTCGACTTCTGTGCAGAGGTGTTGAACACCCTCTCCTACTTGATACTCTTTTCTCCAGATTTTCAGGGCACCACTTTCTTCTGGTTCTCCACCTATCAGACTGCTTCTTCTCAGTCACCTTTGCTGGATCCTCATCTAGATCATACCCTCTAACCACAGATATCCCACAGGGTTCTGTCCTCTTCTCTCCCTTCCACCAAACACTTCAGTGAATCTAACAACCATTTTTATGCTGATGATTCTTTAACTATTCTGTCCCAATCTCTGCTGCTTTTCAGTCTTACATCTCCAACTGCCTTTCAGACATCTTGACTGACATTGTATGAAAATAATGGGATATTATTGAGTTGTAAGAAATTACAAACATGAAAAATGAAGAGAAACTTGGAAAAACTTGTATGAACTGAGAGAATAAAATGAGCAGAACCAAAACAATTTACACAATGACCACATTTCAGGGAAAAACAACTTTGGAAGATTTTAGCATTCTAATGCAATGACCAATCATGACTTTTAAGTACTGAGGATGAAACATGCCACACACTTTTGAGACAGGGAAGTGATAGATTGGAGCTTTAGAATGAGGTTATGGTCAATCTTCAGACATGGCCGATTTTTTTTTTTTTTTGCTTGATGAATTGTTACAAGGGAGAACTTCTATTTGCTTAGGGGGTCAGGTCAGTGAGCTAGCTAGTAGTTTGTGATGGAGATATAAGAAAACAAATGAAAATATTCAATGAAACTAAAAATACATAGAAAACGTTTAGGAGATGCAAATGGCAAATTTGTTGTTACCATATTAATTTTAACATACTTTACTGTATGTTGACAAGTCTATTGTTTAATGGACAATCCTTTTGTTTTCTTTGTACAATGAAATATTTGAATTTTTTAAATAATTGAGCTCACAATTTTTAAAAAAGGCAATACTTATTATGGTATAAAGAAAAATGTCTCTCCATCACTAATTTTTTTCAGTCCCATGTGTCCAGTTGCTTACTAGATGTCTGCTGGAATGTCCTATTATGGGGAGATTATAACTCCTCACCTCCCCTCACCAGTATCTTCCTCCTGGACTTAAAGCTCCAAATTCCTCCCTAACCACATTAAAATTCTTCAACCTCTATGAACTAGCCTCAGCTTTGTTTTCCATTAATTTCTAGTGAGATGACAAATCCAATCCAATTATACTTTTTCTCTCTCTACCTACCCATTTCACATCCTTCACAAAACCTTCCCTGACTCCTTCTCAGACTACCTTGGTAGTTATCCTGTCTTCAGTCTCTTAAAATTTGTACCAGATTGCCTTATCTTACTGCAGGATAAAAGACTCCTCGGAAAGGTAAATTAAGTCCCTTATGGGCCAGGAATCATGTTACAGCTACTTCAAACCTAACACCATTAATGCAGATGGCAGATTCTCAGTATTCATTGAGAATTAATTTACATGAATAAAGTGCTTTACATAAATGCTTGGAAATTACTACCAACTATGCTATCATTAGCTTCATTGTTGGATCAACATGGAATACTTACCCTAAAAAAATAATCTTTATATATTTCTGTCCTTTGTTATCTAACCTGTTATGAGTTTAACCATTCCCTTCCAGATAGAACCTTACCCTAAGACCCTGGTGGTCCCATCGAACACTGCATATAAAACTTGTTCTAGTCAACATGCTTCCTTGAGGGAGGGATATTTCATTCTCTTCTCCACATCCTGATTGGTTTTTCATTCAGTTCCTTTTAAAGATACTTCATTTATATTTATGCTTACAATTTTTTCTTAAAATGTAGATTTTACTGAGGTTAGTAGACATAATCCCCATAGGAGAAAATTTAGCATTTAAGATACAGAAGCCTTCTCAAATAAAACCCATTGCTCTTTCCACACATAACCCAAGCTTTCCGTGATCCTCAGTTGAGGTTATGGTTTTCTACCCCCTCATCCTGCCATATTATACTTTGTGTACCTGTGAACCCAATAAACTTTTTCCACCTCTGCCTACTAAGTCCCATGCACTACAAATCAACCAATAAATGTGTTTAATTGGGTGAGGTAGCTTTATCACTTAAGTCACTGGCAATTTAGCTTCATTACTTTGTCCCAGGCTCTCTTGCTTATTACCAGTTGTGGACCATTTTGCAACACCCTACACTTTTCCTTCAATTCAAACATCTGAAGTGCTTACTCTACATACAAAGCAGAAGAAATCCAGTGCAGAGGTTAGTTTGGACGTTTACTAGGCCCAGCACAGATCATGGTACTCCATGGTGTTTCTGCATATATGACTTCTTTATGTGACCAGAGCTTTGCCTATGCCCTATGACAATAGGCATGACATAGGAAAAGTGGCTCAAATCATTCAATCACAAAACAGAAACAGATAAAATATGGTCAGACACCTGAAATGCAAGTATCACACCTTTATTGACATTTAATAATCAGAGGACATTTTCACAGAACAGAAAAAAAGACAGACCTAGTATAAAGAAAAAGGTAACATACAAATTAATATTCCTCACCTTCATCTTCCCCCTCAGCACTATCTGCTCCAACCTCCTCATAATCCTTCTCCAGGGCAGCCATATCCTCCCGGGCCTCAGAGAACTCTCCTTCCTCCATGCCCTCCCCCACATACCAATGGACAAAGGCACGCTTGGCATACATCAGATCAAATTTGTGGTCCAGGCGAGCCCAGGCCTCAGCAACAGCTGTAGTGTTACTTAACATGCACACAGCCCGCTGTACCTTGGCCAGGTCACCACCAGGAACCACAGTGGGTGGCTGATAATTGATGCCAACCTTGAAGCCAGTTGGGCACCAATCCACAAACTGGATGCTACGCTTTGTCTTGATGGTGGCAATAGCAGCATTAACATCTTTCGGAACCACATCACCACGGTAGAGCAGGCAGCAAGCCATGTATTTACCGTGGCGAGGGTCACATTTCACCATCTGGTTGGCAGGCTCAAAGCAAGCATTGGTGATCTCTGCTACAGTCAGCTGCTCATGGTAGGCTTTCTCAGCAGAGATGACTGGGGCATATGTGGCCAGAGGGAAATGGATACGGGGATAGGGCACCAGGTTGGTCTGGAATTCTGTCAGATCAACATTCAGGGCACCATCAAATCGGAGAGAGGCAGTGATGGAGGACACAATTTGGCTAATAAGGCGATTCAGATTAGTGTAGGTTGGGCGTTCAATGTCAAGGTTTCTGCGACAGATATCATAAATGGCCTCATTGTCTACCATGAAGGCACAGTCAGAGTGCTCCAGGGTGGTGTGAGTGGTCAGAATGGAGTTGTAGGGCTCCACTACAGCTGTGGAAACCTGAGGGGCTGGGTAAATGGAGAACTCCAGCTTGGACTTCTTGCCATAATCAACGGACAGACGTTCCATCAGCAGAGAGGTGAAACCTGAGCCAGTCCCACCACCAAAGCTGTGGAAAACCAAGAAGCCTTGAAGACCTGTGCACTGATCAGCCTGTAAAACAGGAAAAACAACAACACAACTCTAAATATTTAATAAGTTTCATGGAAAACCAATCCTAGTCTGGACTTATCTCCACTGGTCTCTCCACAAGTTAATTGGTCAAATCATATCCAACACTTGATATTCTTGGAAACAGTGCTTTCAGCCACATTTAACAGCAATTACATTTCATGAATTGCTGACTTCTCAAAGCAGTTCTATGGACAGTCTGTGGGAACTTCATTTCATAAGAATACTGCCTTGTATGTAAAAAGACACAAGAAGTCCCTGGTCTACCTATGCATGCATAGATAGACCTAGTTAGTGTAGCCACACAGGGACGCTATATAAAATGAAGACACTGGCTTTCTAGTCCACAGGTTTACATAGCCCTATATTTATGTCTTACATGTTTTTTTAGGACTTGCAGTTTAGCTTATATGTTAAGCAAGAGAAGCATTAACTTACTTCTGCTGGATCAAAACTAAAACTCTCTCTTCTCTATAAATAATCAGATGCCTGCCCTGGCCTGATGTGATTGTTATACTGAGCAGGACTTCATGGCCAGTAAGCTAGACCAAGGCTAGAGTATTCAGCATGCATCAGCTGTTACACGCGCGCATGTACGTGTGTACACACACACACACACATACACACACACACACTTTTTCAAGGAAGAAAAGGTCCTCTGAATCCTAAGTTCTAAGTAAAACTGCAGCAATCCAGATCTGAACCTAAAACTTACAAAACTCACTGAAATAGCAGAATGATGTACTATGATTTTTAGGGACTGGGAGAGGACCCCCAATTTTATTAACCACTATGCAGGACAGAAACATAAGGCCTACTTAACAGCTTACAAAGTCCTCTAAAGTTTCAGTAACTGTCAGTCAGTTCTTTCCAGAGCTCCCTGATCCCATTGGTATAAGTGCTTATGACAACAGCCATTTTCCAAACAATTAAATGCTACTGTCTCAACTTTAACATTATTCATGTCTCATAAGTTTTAATGTTAACATGTTGGTATAATCAATTGTATCTAGATGACCATTGCACTGTTCAATCCCCCCCCTTTTTTTTTTGCTAAAGAGAACATGTTATATTCACTCTAATTAAGATAGCACATTAATAGAATTTCCAATCTCAGTACAAGATTCCCTGAATTAGAGTCTGACTGTTTAGGTTAGTTCAGAGCTTACTTTACTATTGCTACAGTATCACCCTACTACTAGATGACTCACAAGCTTACGAATTCTGTCCAGAACCATGTCAATTATTTCCTTGCCAATAGTATAGTGTCCACGGGCATAGTTATTAGCAGCATCTTCCTTGCCGGTGATCAGCTGCTCAGGATGGAAGAGCTGGCGGTAGGTTCCAGTTCGAACTTCATCTGGAAGATTAAAAAAAACAGTCTAGTTTTAATAATGTGGTAACTCCTACTAAGAACCAAAGGTATTTAAAAAAGTCACCAGGAATGGTTACTTTCAATCTGCATGTTTGTAAATGCAAATTGAACTCACCAATAACAGTTGGTTCCAGGTCTACAAACACAGCACGGGGAACATGTTTGCCAGCCCCAGTTTCACTGAAGAAGGTGTTGAAAGAGTCATCTCCACCCCCAATGGTCTTGTCACTTGGCATCTGCCCATCAGGCTGGATACCATGTTCCAGGCAGTACAGCTCCCAACAGGCATTGCCAATCTGGACACCAGCCTGGCCAACGTGGATAGAGATGCACTCACGCTGCAGAAAAACAAGGAATATAAAGAAGCCAGTTGGGACAGACAGCTAATATATTCCTATCTACATGAGTAATGAATTAAGTTACAGCACAACCATTCCACAGGACATCCCTCCGACCCCCCAAGTTCAAGCATACTACAAACTGAATTCAGAGAAATTTCTTTGGGCAAACAAATGAGAATTCATTACCTAAGAATTCTAGGGACAACCATGGGTTAAATCAAAGTCAGGAACTGGCCTGCCATTTTAGAAAGGTATATCCCCAGGGCTCTATTCAAAACTATTTCCTTCTAATTCGAGGGAAATGAGTAAGGCCTGATTCCTTAAAAGCTTAAAAAACCCTCCCCCTTTCAGTTCTTATTCATACTTTTTGTGTGATTGTGTAACTTCAGTTGAGATCATTCTGGCCCCTTTAATCCTATTCTTTAAAGCCCAGAGCTTCTCTCCCCTCCTCCTTTAAAAACCAGCTTAAACCAGCAAGCTACAACCACATGACTCAAAGAAACTGCCAGATAAGCAGAGACTAGCTATATTTTAAAATCTGGTCAGAGGCAGCTTTTTTAACCTTGTAGAAGACTTCATCTATAGTCAATGCAGCATTTACTTTGGCCCTGTAACTCACGGAAAGAATTTTTTTTTTCTTTCCTCTTTCCAAAAGAAGAATCCACTCTGTCCCCTAAAAATATTTCTGGAAAAAGTCTACTGCAGACAGGCTTTGGTCTTCATAGGGCAGTGACTATCACAGACTTCCCCAGGAAAATAAACATCTCTAGCTCAGCGGAGGGGGAAAAAATTAAATTCTTTTGAAAGTATTTAGGAAAACATTTCATTTTACCCATTTACAAGTAGTGGTATGGCTTGAATGGAGTCTTTCTAAGGACTTGGCACTGTACTTTTTCCAAACTCCCTCATACAAAAAAGGTCCTCTTTCATTTTAAATGTAAGGTTCAAAATTCTTAAGAATGAATAAAAAAAATTCAGTTCTAAGTCATCACAAGTTGTATACACTAATTTCTAACTAGGAATTTAAACACCTAAATCATTTGCAACCTTTATTTTATGATCTTTCCTTTCCAGGTAGCAATCTTAACATTATTCATAAAACAATCATGGTCATCTGACCACGTCAAGGCCCAAAATCACCTGTACTCACTTGCCCAGCTGTAGGCGGTGACTATTTGTTTTAATGAGCTCATGACTATTTACTGGTGCATCATGATAACTTAACTGGACTTTGGAAAAAATCATATAGCTCACAAAATGCTCGAGTTAGAAGAGATAACATAAATGATGGCATTGGACTAAATTAACAGGCCAGAAAACTAAGGATCACAGAATCAGAATATAGACAACTTTATGCATACAGTGTGAGCAACCCTTTCAGTTTCACCTATGATGAAATTGAGGCTCAAAGAAGTTAAATGATTCATCCAGTATCATTACTAGTTAGTTGCAGCACCTAGAGTAGAACGTAGGCCTCCCGGTTCATAAATAATTATAATGTCCTCTTCTCTGGCAAGCCTTTCTTTATTTACCTTCTTTTCAAGTGAGCCTATCTGCTATCAGATCTCATAATCACAAAAAATGACTCTGTCTGTGATGATTCTGAATAAGGTATTACTCAGTATAAATTATAAATCATGTAAGAAAGTAAGCCTCCTTGAGAAATTTCCTCACACTGCCTATCTTGTCTGCTAAACTCCTGGGAAAGCTGACAAGGTCAAAAAGACTCACCTTCCCATGACTACCTGGGGGGAGGGTGATTGGTTATTAAAAGTCAGGTCACATGATAAGCCTATTCCTACCTGTAGGAATAATCGTCATTTCCCTAATAAAACCAAGGCTAAAAGCCTGTTTTCTTTAGCAGTACCCTAATTTTCTTTAACATACAAGAACATATTCCTCCTTCCATTTCCTACTTACGCCCAGAAAAGCTATTTTAAATGAGGTGGTCTCTTTGGGGCATTAGCTTTCTCTATGCTGCTCTGAGTAATATTTAGGAAGAATTCATTCAGCCAAACAACCCAGGTTGTTCAACCACTAAGCTTTAATGTGATCTTCCTTTCGAAAAGCAATACTACAGTTGTTCAAACACCTGAAAAATGGGATGTTAACGCTACAACCAGCTACTTGATGGTCTTACAAGGAAACACCCTTTAAGAATCTACCTCAAGTACTTGTTTCCACTCCAGACATTTCTAACAGGTGAGAAAAGCAGGATTAGACACGGTAACACTAAACTAGTTCTCTATCTATGGGACATGCTCCCTTATGTATCTGTGGCCGCATTTCCCCCTCAATTCTATCTAGGCTTTGGGAAATACTGTCACCCTAAACTTCGATACTTCCTTTAGTAAATGTGACTCGGCACTGAGTCACAGAGAACTAGAGCGAGGGAGTTAGGGAGGGGCTCCAACATTTTAGAGTGCACTCTGCCTACGATGACCTCTTGTCTCCAAAGATAAGGAAGACGGCCTGCAATCTTTAACTTCAATTTGGTTCATTTGGTTACCATAGAAAGGCCAGCTAACTCATTCTGGTAGTGGGAGGGGGGCCAGGAGGGAAAAAGGAAAGGTGCAAAGCATTTTTAAGCTTTCTAAAGTCGATCTTAGAAGCGCGTTAAAAGTTTGAAGAATTAGATGGACCATCCCTTCAAAGCGTTAATAAACCCATTAGTAATTAGGATTAGTAAATCTTAACCTTAAAATTTGTTCTTAAGACTTTGGGGCAAGTTTTCTCTGAAAAATCGAATTCATCACGTGTCACTGTGGGCACTTCCACTTCAAAACAGCACCATGCTGTTGGTAATTTTGGTCCCCTAGCAAAGAAAGTTAGGGGAATCCAGCAGCATGGTTCTCGCACGGCCCAAGGCACGGAGCTTACACTCCCCTCTCTCAATACCCAGGAAGTACTCAGAGCAATACAGGAGGAGCGCAGCCCAAGAGGCAGACAGCCAATGCGGGAGATCTTCCTCCAAGCGATCTGAGGGGCCAATCTGCCACGTGCGCCCCACGCCCCGCCAAGTCCCAATGCCGTCTTGGTCACTCTGTTTCCCCGTAAACGTGGACAGCGCCGGCTCCTAGCCCTCTCTCCTGGTCACATGACCCTAAGTGTCCCGGACCCTGAACTCCCGCGCTCTCCACCACCTGGAGCAGCCGGCTGGCTGGGGCACCACACACTCACCATGATGAAGGTGTGCAGGGGTCCGCTGGACTAAGAAGAAATGGAAAGGAGGGCGACACAAGTTTCTCACCGACCGACCGTTAGGGAGTCTCCGGGAGAAAAGTTAGTGAGAAGCGGAGTTCACGGGAGGGGCTTTATATAGCCCTTCCTGAGCCACGTGTTTGGAGGGGGGGGTCCCTCGGACCTGACCCCACCCCCTCCTTCCTTTCTCTAAGCTTCTCTTCCACCCTCCCCGCCCGGCTTCCCTCCCAAACTCCACCCCGTCCGGTCTCTGCCACCCCACCCTCATCCCGGGCTCTCATTGGTGAGTTCGAAAGTTCAAACCAAACCTTTTCGGAAGAAGCTAGAGTTGTGGGGGAGGGAAGGAGGAAGTTTGGCCGACCCCCGAGGATCATCGAAGTGGGGGGGAAAGTTTGAGTGAAGAGTATGGTCATTTGGGGGAGTTGGGAAGAGACGAGGAAGGAACAGCGTCGAGATGATGAAAGAGAGTGGGGGTTGGGGGTGGGGAGGTGGGATAACTTTGCGAAAAAAGAGCAATAAAACTTTTTAATTATTTAAAAAAAGGAAGTAAGCCCAGCGATGAGAGAGTATGGTGAATGAAGGTAGGGAGAAGGGGATCCCTGTGGTACTGGGAACAGGGAAACAGCTGGGAGAGCAAAGCCTCTCCCCTCTCTATCCATCACCTCTCCCTTCCTCCCTGCTTCTGGCCTCCCACTGACGCATTGCTCGGCCCACTCCCTTGGCCTCGAGCCAGTGAACATTTTCCTAACTCCCTACAAGGTAATCTCCGAGAGCCGCCCGGCCTGCTAGGGGAAGGTTTCCGAGTGACTGGTTTATTCAGAAAACACAGCCCTGCAGATGGTCCCGCTGCTTTGACTTCTCATTCAGGTCCTGCTTCTCCTAGCCGGCTCTGTCTGCTCGACTGAAAAGGGAGGCTGCCTTATTTACTTCCTGTATGAAGTGGACTAGTAGGCAAGAGGCCCTTAGTAGGGCCCAGCTATTGTATCTGGGAGCTTGGCTGCTGCAGGCCCCCTACTTGGAATTGTCAGAGTTTCTCCGCTCCTTTCTTAAGCCTAGATCAAAGCTGTTTAGAGAAACGATTTCGTACACAAAGCTTAAACAGGGCCTTTCAGCCCTACTTTCAGAACAGTCTCATTTCTGCAATTGTCAGATGAGGAGGTGGGTAGTTTAAAGATTCGAAATTCTGACCTTTCTCGCAACTTTTCTCTACTCCTTCCTGGTCCTTATTTTTAAAAATGCCCGTTTGGTAACAACAAAACATCCTATCATCACATTCCAAAGGATGCTAAAACCTTTTGCTGGATCACCCACCAAAACTATTTCTTTTTCATTTCTTTATCTTGAATGTTTTGTGTATCAGAATTCTTTTTCTTCTTTCCCCCGACAGTTTTCTTTCTCTGTAGGGAGATTAAAAAAAAAACCAAACCTTTCTTAAAACTCATAAATGAATTCCTTAAATATGAGAAGTGTCTGTCTAGCTTTAGAAAAAAATGCAGTGCACAGAAAAGTGCTTTGTGTTTTTACAGAGTAGAGTCACAGAATTTTAGAGATGGAAGGAATCTGAGAGAATGAGGGCCTTGGTTGATCTCTCAAATCCCTTCCAACCATAATATCCTATAATTTTTCCAATCACCTAGGCTAACCCCCTCATTTTACAGGCAAAGAAACAGGTTCAGAGAGTGCAAACTATTTCTACTTAAGTGGCAATCACTAATCAGTAGGTTGTGAGGTTTTGGGGAGGTTGTTATTCAGTGAACATTTTCTTAAATGTTTACTTTTAAAAAATGTTTACCTTTGCTAAATTTCATTTTCTTAAATGCTTACCTTTCTTTAGAGAGAAAGCAAAAGTACTATCAAATTATCTAATGTAAGATCTCTGGGGAAAGATTGTTTTGAGTTTGGTCTTTCTAGCCTCAAAATGCTTGATGATCTGTCTAGGACAGAGTAGGTACTTAATGCTTGTTGAATTGAACAGAATTAAACACAAATATAGGAAAGGTGCGCAGAATTCAAAATATTTCTGGAATTTACATTAAAATTGTTCCATCTATACTGATTTCTATATTCGTAATAATTAATACTTTTCAATGAGTTCCTTAAATCCAAAGTAACACCTACGCAGCAGACCTTCAATATTGTTATGGGAAAAGTGATAGAACATCAACATGGAATAGTGGATAGAAAGCTACCCTGGAAGCCCGGAAGACCTGGATTCAAGTTCCTCTTCTGACACACACTGACTGTATGTGTAGCCTCGCGCCAAGTCACTTACCTTCTCAGTGTCCTGGGCAACTCTTTAAGACTATATGAATTGTACCCCTCTATATAGAAGCCCATAGTTAAGCAAAGCAGGTGAATATAATGGCAGTTTGAGAATGTACATCTCTAGTTCTTCACTTGTGTCAAGAAGTAAGAGGTATGTTTTAACATTACTGACCTCTTACTAACTTCTACTGATCTGCAGTGGAAGAGGGAGTTTTCTCACCTGGCAGCTAGGTGGTGAGGTAGATAGAGTACTAGGCCTGGAGTCAGGAAGACCTGAGTTCAAATTCTACCTGAGACACTACTAGCTGTGTGACCCTGGGCAAGTCACTTAACCTCTATCTATCTCAGTTTCCTCAACTGTAAAATGAGGATACTAATAGGACCTACTTCCCAGGTTGTTATAAGGATCAGATGAGATGTTTCCTTCCTTGTGCTTGTGAACTCACTGGTCCAGTCCCTATCCTTATAGGTCAACTAGATTTACAGTTATATTTTATAGCAGTTCTTTCTTTTGGGTCCTCATTCTAAAACATTCATTTAAAACACTTCTTTGTGTTTCTGCTTTAAGTTTTGTACATACCTGGTGGGAATGCAGCTTTCTAGATTCTGGATATTAAAAGGTTTATTGAAGCCAAAACAGCTAGTAATTAACACTGGGAACCATATTTAAACTTGCTGCCTCCTACTGGAAGTTGTGACTGTTGTTTATTTTCTTTTTGATTTAAAATTTTATTTTTTATGTTTAGATAGATTGATAGAGGGCACAAGATGAGTTGAAGATGAAGGGGTGATATCTGGAGAATAAAATTAAGGGGTGAGAGAGGATTATCCTGGGAGAAGGAGAAAGGGAGAGGTAGAATGAGGTAAATTATCTCACATAAAACAGACAAGAAAAGGCTTTTACAGTGGAGGGGAAGTGGGGGAAGATTAGAGGAAATGAGAGTCTTATTCTCATCGGATTTGGCTTAAGGAGGGAATAACATACACACTCAATTGGATATGGAAAGCTATCTTACCCTACAGGAAAATAGGAGGCAAGGGGATAAGAGAGTGTGGGGATGATAGAGGAGAGGGCAGACTGGGAGGGGAGGAGTAATCAGAAGCAAACACTTCTGAGAAGGGACAGGTTCAAAAAAGAGAATAGAATAAACAGGGTTGAGGGGGGTGGGGGGACTGGGATAGGATGAAGGGAAATATAGTTAGTTTTCCACAGCATGACTACTATGGAAGTGTTTTGCATGACTTCACAAGTATAACCTGTATCAAAAAAGAAAATAGTTCCCTTCAAAATTTACCTCAGTCTTCTCCTATTAGAAGCCTTTCTTTATCCCTCCAATGGTTAATATTAGCCTCCTTCCACCTCAGTTCTCTTAGTCTTATTTATCTCTTATTTATTTTGTTTCTCCCCCCCCTCCAGAATGTGAGTTCCTTGAAGTCAGAGACAGTTTTTGTATTCCCAGCTCCAAGCACAGTGTCATGTACAAGATAGGTGCTTAATAAATGATTGATGAATTTATTTGAATGAATTAAAAGGCTTTCTTTAATTTTTTTTAGTACCAGTAAATAGTGGTAGAATCTTTAGAAGGAAAATCATTCAATATATGAATATGAATCAATATTCAATATATATGCAAAAAAAATCAAAATAAAATTTTTTTATTGTGAACTTAATCAACAAATATAAACATTTCAACATACAAAAGACAAGAAAGACTCGTATAAAAAGCTGAATTTCTGTTATATAGTTTTTAAAAAAGATATATTAACATAATGAGATAGTAATGAAAATCGCTGCATTTGTGTCACATTCTATGCTTCTTTTTCTTTTCTTCTGTGCATTTAAAAATGTCTTATTGATGCTCTTTGTTTTCCATATCTGTCTTTATGAACTAATTTGTCATATCTTATTTCTCCAAGTAGAAGACTGTAGTCAAGCAAAACAAATGACCATACTGCCCATGTCTGGGAATCCACATCTGATTCTATACTTCTTTTCCATTACCTTTCTGCCAAGAAATATGAGTTCTGTCATCAGTGTTTTGAAGTTGTCACTGGGTATTACTTTGCTTAGAGTTCTGAGGTCTTTCAGACTTTCCTCTTATATTATTATTATGGTCATCAAGTAAATTATTCTCTTGGTTTTGCTAATTTTACTATGCATCCATTCACACTAGTGTTTCTAATGGGTTAGAATTCTTAGAATCCATCATATTAATTTTTTTATGGTACAATTGTACTATACCATATTCATATACCACATTTTTTTTCATACCTTCCCTAAATGATGGGTATGTGTTCTGTTTTTGGTTCTTTGCTAGAGCAAAAAGTGTTGCAATAAGTATTCTTGTGCACATGGGTCTTTTCCTCTGTACATATTTGACCTCCTTAGGTAATATATCTAATAGTGGTATTTCTGGATCAGAGGGTATGCACAGTTTAGTGACTTTGATGATATAATTCCAAATTACCTTCCAGAATGGTTGAATCAATTTACAGCTCCATCAACAGTGCAATATTGTGCCTTTCCCCCCACAAATCCTCCAAAAATAGCAATTTTCCACTTTCCTTATCTTTGCCAATCTGATAGGTGTGAGGTGAAACCTCAGAGTTTTTTTTAAATTTGCTTTTCCATTATTAGGGACTTGGAAAATTTTTATATAGTTATGATAGCTTTCCATTCATTTGAATAAATGCTGATTTATCCAAGCCTGTACATTTCCTTTGCTCACTAATCTATTTGGGAAAAGCTTTTATTCTTATATATTTGTATCAATCATATTTAATCTTGGATGTCAGAACTTCATT